GCCAGCCGGCCTGGGCCATGGTGAAGGCCAGCGCGATCGTCGGCGCCCGGCCGGCCTCGCGCGCCCCCAGTTCGGCCAGCAGGCGATCGGCGGCGCGGCCCAGCGCCAGCGCCTGCGCCTCCGCCGCCCTGGGGTCGCCGAGGTCGAGCGCCTGGGCCAGGCCGCGCGGCGTCGGGGCGCAGAAGCGCGCCGGCCGCACGAAGGCGAAGAGCTCCAGCAGGTCGAAGGCGACGAAGGGCTCGACGCCCAGGCGCGTCGCCGTGGCCCGGGCGTGGCAGACCAGCGGCGGCGTCTGACGCGCCCGGCGCGCGGCATCGCCGGCCTTCAGCGACTCCACCTCGCCGTCCGGGCTCAGCCAGACGGCCCCGGTCAGACCGGCGACGAGAGCGGGCGGCGGTTCGCGCATGGGCTGCGCAGTATAGGGAGCGGCGGCGGTGCGGTCAGGCATGACGACTGGCTGGGGACTCTCTGCAGGCTGGCCTCGCGCCGCCGCAAGCTTTATTGCCTTGCGGTGCGATGCGCGGAGATCCGGATCTGATCCAGCGGCTGGTGCGCGGCGACAAGCCGAGCTGGGACCGCTTCGTCGCCGAGACGGCGGCCGTCGTCTATGCCGCCGTGCAGAAGCGTCTGGCCCCGGCCGGCCGCGGCGACGAGGCCGACGACGTGGCGCAGGAGGTCTACGTCAAGCTCTGCCGCAACGACTACAAGCTGCTGCGCGGTTTCGACGCGAAGAAGGCGAAGCTGACCACCTTCCTGACGGTGATCGCCACCACCACGGCGATCGACACGCTGCGCCGCGGCCGGCCGACCGGCGTGCACGCGGAGACGATCGACGCAGTGCCGGAAGCCCGCCTCGCGGTCGAGCCGGTCGAGCCGGTCCAGCCGGTGCGCATTCCCCCGGGCCTGCTGTCCGCGCGCCAGGCGGCCGTGCTGCGCCTGCTCTACGACGAGGAGAAGGAGGTCGGCGAGGCGGCCGCGCTGCTCGGCGTCGAAGCGCAGACCGTGCGCTCCATGCATCACAAGGCTCTGACCAAGCTGCGGCGCCATTTCGCCGATCTGGACCAGGGATGACGGTCGCGTGCGGCGCGTACAAGTTTTCGTGACAAGAGGGTGGACCGAAATGAGCAGGACGGAGGAGTTCGAGATCGGCGGCGCGGCGGCGCGCCGCCTCTGGGCGCGCGTGGCACCGGACGCCGCGCCGGCGACCCGGCCGGAGCCGGCGCTGCTGGCCGCCTGG